TACATACACATATATATATATATTCATATAGTTATGATTAGTCATGCAAATAAAATATAAATAATGCATACCTGTGTCTGATTGGCACTAGTTTGCGCAGAAAAGTTAATAAAGTAGGCAGCAAAGCGGTCTCTATCAATTTCTCTCATCATTTTTTCTTGAATATAAGCGGATTTTCCCGTTCCTGTCGGACCAACGTAAAGCAGTGGGCGTCGAGCGCTTAGGAGAACGTTAAGAATGTATTTATATCGAGCTGTATCCATTGTGGGAATAATCAAGTCCCTTAAATTTATTTCCGGCGGCTTTTCCACAGACCTTAAGAATTCATTCCAATGGCGCCAGGATCCTCGGCTTTTCATCTATAGATAAATTAATTATAAATGAATACACTAAAAGGCTAAATGAAATAATAGGTTTTACATATAAGGACACAAATGCAGCAAATACATGATTTTATGACTCATAATGGGGGTCTCGTTTAGTTTACCCAAGCCTCCTTGATTACTAGTGAGTAAGATACTAGTTAGATTAAATGCGATAGAGTAATGAAATACTAGCGAAAACTGAGGCCACAGAGTGACTTTATAAGCTAAGAAGAGGCATAAGCTCTTATACTAGTGAAAGATTGAAAAGCATGCACCTCTATTCGTTGAGATTCCAAGAGTTAGAGTAATGAGGAATCAGGTAGAGATCTTATGAGAATTAGAAGCACCAATATACATAAGTGATTGGACCTGGTTTACGCAACTTGGCCGTGTTGCCAAATAGACCTAAGGGAACGTACCATGCACCGAGTTGCCTAACATAGTAAGCATGATCATTCTCAGAGTATAACCATATAATTGTTGCGTTTAGGGAAGTTGCGTCGGTGAAATCAGTAAAACTTGTCGGTCTTAGCACTAAACTGCAATTCGTCAAAGAGACAAGTGAAGTCTATCTCTTGACCAAAGTTCTATTGAACGGGTATGGATTGTGAATTGAGTAAAAAAAGGCTGATATTAAGAA